AGGTTCCTTTATCGGTATTTAAAGATTATGTCGTGATCGTCGTATGCTACTTGTTTATTTATAGAAAATTCTACTTATTTTCGGGCGCAATAATCATTGCTGATAGTTTAGTTGATACGACAAGTCAAAATTTGCCACTTAAAATACTTACCAATTTTAAGGTGTTCGTAGGACGAAATGAAAAATTGAACCCTTTTATCTTGATATCTTGTGCTTCTGTCCGTCCCGCTCTGCTCCGCAGCAATCTACTTAACCAATTAGGTATAACTAATCTTAGACATAGATGTGTAACATAAGTAAATTCATTTTAAATATGAGTGTCACTTTTAATGGATTTAAAAACAATGCACACTGTGTATGACGTTTTTACGAGAATTTAAAGAAATAGTAAAAAATTTACCCCCCTATCTCTAAAAACATTAAACTCAACTTAAAAAAAATACTAAGAGAGGCTCGTAACTTAGTGGTAATCGAGTAGGTTAACACATTTCAAAATTAAGTAATCCTAGCCAGATCAGTGTATGGATGGGTGACCATTTCTGAACACATTAAGACCTCTCCGTGCCTCGGTCCCAGTTGCCACAGGAATATCTGTGGCAATCGTTATGGGTAGTTGCAGCCCTAAAAAGTCCGACAACAGTCTTTCTACAGAACTTCGATATCACCTTCTTGGGCAGTCAAGGTCTGCTAGCAGTCGTGTCGCGTAAGCAAAATCAAAATAGACATAATTATAACCGACCCAGTTTAGGAAAAGTGCTCAGTGAAAAAAAATGTTTACTTTTAAACTATTGATCTATAAAAAGGAAAGTTTTTAAAGTCAATAGTACTAAAACAAAAAATAAATATTTTAATGGTGTGCATACAAACATCCAATTGCAATTGAAATTTATCCATGAACATGCTCTTCGACTATGTAATAATGTTAAGTTTATTCTTAGGAAATCATCACACACACACACACATCAGCGGCCTTTAATAGTACATAGGCCTCTCCTTACAAAGGAGGTTTTGGCCTACTATACCACTCTGGCCAGACGGGTTTATGTAGGGTTTGTGTCAAGTTTTCCTTCTTTTTGCAATGTTGGTGTCCTGCGTAGTTTTGCGCCCTTAGTGGGCTCTTACGACACCCACGGGATGAACTGGGGTAGTGACATTCCATATTTTTAAGATCTTAGGATATGGCAAATACAAATTCATCGTTCAGACCCCACTCTACAGGTATTTAACTTCCACTTGACTTTTCTAAGATTGTAATTTTCTATGGTCTTAATAATATTTATTTATGTCAATATGTATAAAGCTGCAATTACAATGTCATTGCACGGATGACGTAGTGGTTTAGGCTGCTTCCTACAGCGCTGAGTGTTGCGGGTTCGAACCCCACATGGGACACCACTTTGTATGATCCACAAATTGTTGTTCTGAGTCTGGGTGTTCTTTGAGTCCGTTTCATGAATGTTGTAGCAACATATTTTACAAACTAACAAAAATTTATTATTTACTTGCCAAGAAAATCATAGATTGCAATGCGCCTAAATTATAATTTACTAGCTTCTGTCGGCGACTCCGCCCGCGTGTATATTGGTTATCGTAAAAAGTAATCTAGGTTACTCGTTGATATGAGGTAGCTTACATGTGTGAAAGAATTTTTAAAAACGGTTCAGTTGTTTAGGCGTAAAAGCGTAACAAACAAACAAACTCACTTTCACATTTATTTATATATTATGGAAGTATGGATTATTTTCTTCATTCTTTAATTTTCTCATTTTCGCACAAATATTCTACCTGTAGGTAGAATATTTTGTTCAAATTTAAATTTGACTTCATTATTATTTTATAATTAGACCTGTCTGTCTATGAAATACGTGCAACATACTGCTAGACTTCGAACGATACGGCTTAAATATTTTGAACATTGAGGAGTTAACGCGATCACGCAACAGGTTACCTGTCTTTTAAATTGCCCGACGGTTCGACCACGGCCTCAATTCTGCTATTTAATGTTAACGTACAAGCCACTGTCATTCCATTGACACGCTATTGAGATGCTATTGATATTGATCAAAATATCTGTATTCTACTAACATAAATTCATAGTGTCAATAGACCGTCGATGTAGTGGCAATGGCTCATTAATGGTGATATCAACGACATTGACAAAAATATCTGGAAAATGAAGTATCATTACAAATTTAAAATGTACTGTTCACCAAACTATTACAAAGACATTTGTATCAGTGGCAGTTCAGTGTCAAGTCATTGGTAGGCTATTGGTCTCACATAGTTAGTAGAATACGAAAAGTTCAAAACTATTCCGACATCGACAGTCTATTGATGTAATATTAAAATACCAGAATTGAGGCCCAGATTACACTGGCCCATGTCACACCCCGAGTCAAAGAAACGTTGTAATAAGGCACTAAAAGCGCAAGTATAAAAGTTAGTATAGCATTGTTTAAAATTTGTTACAAACGTGAAATACTGGAACCTTAATAAACTTTTATATAGAAAACATATTTTGCAAGTAAACGTTTCTATCACCTCAAAGTAATAAACTTAGTCTACGTTCCTTTTTATATTCTTTTAGTACCTTCAACGAAAAGAGTCCTTACTTCGTGTCATTCATATAGAACCTATTCACTATCACAAGTCAAATACATGAATAAATAAATATAAAGCAAATAAAGCTAAACATAAAATATCATTACGAGACCTTCTTTGGTACACGGAAAGACGAATTTCCTTCTGACATTCCCTTTTAATGTCATGAATGTCTTTTATAGAAAATGTAATTACATAATTGCCTTAAAAGGTTCACATGCTTACGGTTTATCGCAAGCTGAATATGCGGCAATAAATAAATAGAGGTCAATATTTAATAAGCACATAATAAATAAGTATTTACAGCACAGTAGACGGAAAGTTCAAATCCTAAAACCATAGTAATAACATCACATACAAGGTGACAATGATTGTTTGTTTGATGGTTAACAAACGTAACATTTGCTACACTATACTCATACATTTAAAATGAGGTATTTTCATGATTTAGTGAATAAACCAGCAGACAAGTCACCTCCGCCTTCGGATACTCGCAACTCAATAGTCACAAGTGCAATGCAGGTAAGTTTCACTCTGTGAAATGCAACAAAGGAATTGATTTACACCGATTTGTGCCGAGGCATGGCTCTCCTAATAAAGGACAAACTAATTTTACCAATGTGTTAATAGCCAGTAATAATAGTACGTAGAATAGTGTAGTGAGCCTTCCGTAACGTTGTCGGCGACCTTGTAAAGAAAGCACCACGATCAAGTCTTGTAGTACAGTCAATGTCACTTATAGTGCAGAAGCACATTCGGATGATGCAATCATATTGATGGAAATCCCCTCGGACCGTCACCCCGCCGGGGCTCTCGTTCGGCGGGGCGGTGTGTCGGACTCGAACCGACTAAAACCACACGGTGTGCCCTCTTTGCGCTTCCAGTTTAGGAGGGGTCCAGGTAGCTATCTCCTTCGGGGCCAGCTCCTGGTGCGGGCTCCGTCTCAAATTGACCTCTCTTTAGGCGGCGTCCGGCACACGCGGACGCCGCCCCCTCGCGGCTGGCCAAACTAAGTTCTCTGTACCTCAACACACTTCTGTACTGTTAGTGCATAAAGCTTAAATAAAATGGTTGGTAACAATTTATTATTACTGCCTTTATTGAAGCCAATGAGGTTGAATTCAGATTTATATTAGAGCGCTATAATCAAATTCAACGTTCGGTGTACCATTGTCATCGACATGAAGAGAAATTATAAACTGCGTAAACTGTATTTAAAATGTGTCACAAAGCTTAATTTACTTCGAAATGGCATCGGTCTGCGGAGCGGCCACCAGTTTTACTTTCATACCATTTTAATCTTTATCTCAACCAGAAAATGTATAGAATTGGTTGAAAAACTCTTGTGACAGATAAATGGCCCGTTGAAGCGATGGATGGCAAGCTATATTTTTTTTTTATTTATTTAGATGATTTGATGTGATTTATTTTTTATTTATTTATACCATACTATACATTATTATTACAGCTAGACCAATACAATAATGCAAGACTTACAATAAAAACAAACAAATCTATGGAAAAATAGCTAAATAAAATAATAATCCTCAATAAGCCTTTGTGAACGCATTGAGCGCACACGAAAAAACATCAAAATGATCCGACAGTACATACACTGCATTGAGCGCACGCAGCGCGCGCGTAAACGGCGCCCAATGCAGCAGATTGGTGCGCGCGGGCGGCACCGCAAGCAAGCGCGTGCACCTCCGCCGTGTCACGTAATCATTGGGCACACAAAGTGAGATCTCCTGTAGGATAGCTGGGTTGTGTATCAATCCACGTAACACTTTAAATACGTACGTGGCTAAAGCTACTTCTCTCCTTACTTCCAGCGTGTAATATCCCACCATGCCCAAAACAAACAGTGTGGGATACAACAATGGATACCCTGGGTAAACACCGAATACCTTCAAATATAAAAACCTAATAAATTTATTTTGTATACGTTCCAACATTACTTTATATTTGATTTGATGAAGAGACCAGATAGAAGAAGACTACTTTTAACTAATGTCTCGTACAAGGCTCTCAGTGCTGCGATGTTGGTAAATTCATTTGCGTTCCTTAGAAAAAAGATGACCTTCTGTAACCCCAATCTTAAACGAGGCATAGTCTCGCTCAGTTCTAGGTTTTAATTTTTTAATAATTATTTCTGACTTACTTTGCAGAACATTTTGTATGTACTTCTTTACAGTATCTTCCGATGTGGTTTTCTCAAGTCTCCAAACATGTAAAAACTTTTTGCGTTCAACTGCTTTTAGTAGGTCAGATGCCGCATTACCCCCTCTTCTCACAGTGTTATTCCTCTTGTTCATTCTTACTTCTACCCAAGTATTCAAGTCACGTATGGTGTCCGTTGCTTTTTTGGCCACAGTCGCATAGCTGGGTATGGGTATAGATTACTGTAACTCTATTTTCGGGGTCTCGTGATGTTGATCTACCTTATCACGGCCCGAAGGTGGGGTCTGGAAAGCCTTGGACCTTGGCTCACTTACAACTGGACGGAAGAGCAGAGGGGTTTTCATGCTGCTTATATTACTTTCTTTGTTTGTCTGCATCTCAGATTTTAGAGTGTTAATTTCTTGTTCATAAGATACACACTTTTTATTGGCTTCTTGCAGCTTCTGTGTCAATTTGCTATTTTCTAGAGCCAAAACCCTTATAGTATCCCTAATTTCTACCAATGTTTTTGACACAAGAGCACTCAATTTTTCTAGTATCATGGTATTAACTTTCTCCATTACATCAACCAAGTTGGATGTGTCGGTGGCTGTTAATACCTCACTTTCTCTCGACCCATTATCATCAAAAGATTGAGTACATTGCTTATCTCTTTGGGAATCCATTATACCCGCGCGAAGACTCCGTACCGGAGTATCATCTGTTACCCGTATCCACTGGGTTACATTGGTTAAAATTGCGCTTGGTTTTTGTTTGCCCATCATTAAAAGTGGCCGGGGTAATATTCACACAACTATAATGATATCCCACCTTACAACCATTGCATTTAAGCAAGTCCACTAAATCAATTTTCTTGCAGCAAATACCACAAATCATGATTCAGTTATTCTTTCAAAAACACAAATTTTAATATAGAAAAACAGAGAGAAAGCACAGACAAATCCCGCGAGTGCGAAAGAGCGCAATGCACGGCGCGGCACTTCAGACCATCCACAAACTGTTTATTGTCACTGATTGTTCTCAACTATAAAATTACTTAAAACACTGCAAAATCTAAATAATTAGCAGTATTCTCAACTTTCTAGTCATACCTTAACACTTATAGTCCACTTTAAAAGCATTATCACAACTACATATACAGTTCGTTTCAATCAATTTACGAATTAAATCAGCGGGAGCGATACGTACTTCACCGCTACGCGTCGACTCGTATTATTATACATAATATACATTTTCACATTGAGAAAAAGCTTAAAATGGTTTGAAAGTAAAATTGCAGGCCGCCTGGTCTTCATCGCTTCACTTCAGTGTAAATTTACCTTTAAATACTCATGATCACCTAATAAGCTATAATAATTTTACAGTGTAGTATTTACTCCTGTTATTGTATAGCTAGGTATTATAATAAATGATTCTCTTGCACAGTGAATATTATCCCATGCCTACTTCAGTAACATCTGTCCGTGTTTACATTTAGAGCTCTGTCTTTGAGACGTGTAGGTTCAAAATAAATATTTCAGTAATTCTATTGATTTGACAAAATGATTAAAGGAGTTTTAACGAAATGAGATTTTATAAATATTACTAATTTACAACACTCAGACTAACTGTATGCAGGCATACATGCGTCATTAAATTATTCAGCTTCAAAATAAATTAAAAAGATATTATTATCTTCTTTTTACTTAAATGCTAAACACTAAATATTCAATATGCTAAGGTCAAAAATAATCGTCTTTAACAGGTTTCTAGAAGAAGATAGACCGTTTGTTAAGAAGAACTGGCGTTTCTTCTACATAGTCCCAGCTGTGTTGGTACACCTCATCTCTTTAACTACCCACATGGGAGTTTTGATATCAAAAAAGCAAGTAATCAATGTCGCTCACATGTTGCCACCGTTCTTGGTCTCCATACACGGTATGTATTTCTTCATGTAAGTCCTTTGAAGATTAATTAGGATTAATTACCTTCTTTTATTATTTACAGATTAATTAACAATGTTACTGTTATGTACTGTTAGCTAAATATTTGTAGAGAATAGGTTTACGTCTTAAATATTATGCTCGGTTTTGATCGAACTCCTAAAACTTGATAGCAATTCGATAGCTTATTGCTACAACTGCTTTTTCAAGCATTTCCCTTTATCGTGGTTAACATTTCTGGTGACATTCATGACGTATTCCAAAAAGAGTTATATCTCAGTCTTGGATGAGTAGGCTTACAATTTTAAATATTTAGGTATGCTAATTCAAATAATAATTTTATTCTATTCGACTGCACGGATGGCGTAGTGGTTTAAGCGGTCGCCACGCCGCTTCCTACTACGCCAAGTGTTGTGGGTTCAAACCCCACATGGGACGACACTTTGTGTGATCCACAAATTATTGTTCTGAGTCTGGGTGTTCTTTGTGTCCGTTTCATGTATGTTTGAAAACTCCCCCGCGACACAGGATATATTCCTAATGCGGCAGTTGTCTTTTTGAAAAAGAAAGATAAAAGAAATTGTTCAAAAGTGAAAAATATGTTTCTGATGTAGTCTGGCCTGGACCAGTAAATGGAAGAATAAATGCTCGTTAAAGAAGTTTCGTTTGTCTTATTAGTATAGTAGTTCGTCTAATAAAAAAAGAAATGGATAACAAGCTAAAACTAAATTTCCATTTCAGCAACTCTAAAAGCTTTAGTCATTATACCCAAGACGGCAGAAATATCTACAATTATGAAAGATCTCGGCGCTCTATGGAGGACGAATTACACTGACAAACAAACCAAAGAGAAGAATAGATTACTTAAAAGACTTAACTTCTGTAACAAGGGTATTTATCTATTTCTAATTATTCGCAATTCTATTTTAAATATCAGAAACATACATCAGTTTATTAAATATATTCGTTTTAACACCATAAAGACCCCACTGGACGTAAACATGTTTTATGGTATAAGGGAGCAAACGGGTCACCTCATGGTAAGTGACAACCACTACCCATGGATACTTGCAACTCAAGAGTCACAAGTGCATTGCCGCCATTTGAGCCCTCTCCACTAACCTCCACTAACCTCACATGTGCCTTGCCGGAGCATGGATCTCCCACGGTTATGACGATACTAAGACAGTTTGTATTTATGTAGACTTGGCTCCTTTAGTTTGTTTTGGTGTTTCTCCTCAACCCTGCCCTTTGAAATGGTGTGACAATTTGGGTTTAACGAAAACTATCCGTACGCTAACGGATTAAGAGTGTCGAACGACGAAATGTCACCACCCCTATCCATCTCTTGCAAACAACGAAGGACAACAGCACCGCAAAGAGAAGGAAAACTTGAAACAAACCCTTTTTTTACATTCTCTATTTAGGCGACGTCCGGCACACGCGGACTTGGACTCCTCGCGGCTGGCCCTTATAAGCGCGCCTCCTTCGCCCGGTTCGTCGCCGGCGAGTTGGGTTTGGATGGAGATTATCCTCCCGGGCCCTATCCACCGCCTCCTCCTGTGAGATGACGTCTTCGCAGAAAGATGCGACCGCGGTAAAACAACTATCACTACCGGCCATGGAGCGTATGACGGCCGGTAGCAAGAGATCCCCCCAAAGACTGCAGTGAGGACCCGACGCTGCGAACGGTGCTCAGCTCAAGCCAGGCGCGGAGCTTTTGTCGACCGCGCGATAAGGTCCTCCTTATCGCGCGGTCGAGACCCTCCAGCATGTTCTTTCTTTTCACTTCTTTGGGGCGGCTAATAGCTAGCTTCAGAGCTTGCCGCGCCTCTTGGTACTCCTTATGAAGCTGGTCCTCCTAACCATCTCCGATGATGATGATGGGGTTCAAACCACAACTTGACATGTAGAAATGCCTGAAAACATCGTTTTAACTCTCTTACTCATACATCACACCTACCAATAACGATCCCTAATCGAAAAAGAAAACCTGGAATTCAAAAGTACAGAATAAAAGGGACATTATCATGATAAGTAAAAAAACATTTCAGCTAACTTCTGGGTGGCAATGGTTGGTACTGCTCAATATTTGATTTCGCCGATGTTGGAAATTTTAATCCGGAGATTTATTCTACAACAACCCTGTGAACTGTTGCTGCCAGTCCCTGCTAGTCACCCGTTCGACCTTAACCACAACTGGTTCGTTTATACAGCAGTATACTTCTTCCAATCTTACACAAGTAAGTAGATTGACCAAGTAATGTTACTCTAAATTTCTAACTAAAATATTAACTGTCAACAATAATTACTCACACATCTCACACCCGGCAGTCTGATCCTAAACTAGGTATAAATTGTGTTACGGTAACCAGACTGCTGATAAACATACTTCAATATTTGTAAATACATTATTACAGATAAATTACACCCAGACACAGATCAAATTATCTTGCTCATTACACAATCATTAGTCCTGGGTAGGAATCACACCTCCCACCACCTCTTCAGACCAACAGGACCGTCAAAAATACACATAACTGATTCGCAGTTACCTGCACATAAAGTAACCGTGACTCGTGCGTGTGCGTTGCTAATCCCCAATGTGAGGATTATTCTGAATCATTTGAAAAATAGGTATGATATCATATGTGTGATTCAGAATACCATATTTATTTATTTTATGCTATTATTGTCTTACGATTGATTTCCCGTGTGGTAACGGATTAAGAATACGGAGTATCACCACCTCTTTTCATCCCGTGCGTGACGTAAGAGCCGACTAAGGGAGCAAACTACGCAGGACAACAAGCACTGCAAAGAAAAGCAAAACTTGACAGAAACCCTAAACCTCGATGATGTCTTAGGATTAAAAATGAAACGAAATCCGTTTCTATGACAATCTTTCACTCAAATTGTCAATATTAGTTTTACCAACAACCTGTCAACGGAGTTATTGATTCACTGTAATTTTAAATTAAGTTCTTACCTAAACCTTTACTTGGTTACAATTCATAATTTCATTTTGAGAAACTTTGCGTTATTCCTATTCTTTTTTCAATGGTGTCAAGAATCGGTACTAACAGACAATCATATCAGCCATAATGAATCCAATTATTTGTAGTGTTCCTGTTAGTTTATGTATACAATGGATCGGAACTGATACTAATAACCTTATGTGGGCTCCTTGCCAATGAATTTGTGATGCTAAAACATGACTTGTCCCGTACAACTCCTACGCCAAATACGATAAATGAGAATGGAATTGGAATTGAAGAGTTTATTAAGAAACATCAAAAATTAATCAGGTAAGTTTCAGTATCGTGGATGTAATGAACTACGGCTATTCGGTCCGGCTGCGTTCATGCGACTGATCGCTTGGGAGCAAATGGTCGACAGGATGAAAGAGAGTCACGATTCTCAGGAGTCAGGAAACTATTAGGAAGAAGAAGAATAGCCGTAGTTCAATACTGATGAATATTTAGTATTTCTAGACTTGTAACTAAGTTTAACTAAATTTCCGTTTCTTTAGTTGAACGAACATAAATTTAATCACCTCCCGTTCCGTTCCTTTTCCCTAAAATAATTATCAAAACCTAAATTTATAACACTTACTCGTAAATTTTTTATCAACAAATAAAGTGTTGTTATAAATTTACATTTAGACAATTAAGGTAATTCAAATCCAGGTACGCAACCGATTTCATCAAACATAAAGAGATTATCCAGGCCTACAACAATTAATTAAATTTCCTAAACTCGTCGCTCTATCTGATTTTCAAAGAGCTACTAACTAAAAGCTTTGGTAATATCGATATAAAATTACTAATATGTAATAATTAATCAAGAAACCCCTGTCGAATGGTCTATGATGTTTTTTTCTTTCTTTAACGAAAAAAGTTAATTTTACAGCAGTGACCACTTTAACACAAAAAAAAACAATAGAAGTTATGTGTTTTTTTTTATAATAGTATTTTGGTCTCTTGTGTGAAATATGTATGATATTTTGTGATGCGAACTTAGAGGATCAAAAATCATCCTATACAAAAAAAATACTTTTGTGTATAAAAAAGCAGTTTGTACTTTTAATTTTAAAAGAAACTTAAAACTGCTTAACACTTCTATAACTTTTACTTGTTTTTTTTTGAGTAATAATGTACCTCCTGTAAATCAGGATCAACACCAAAGACCCACAAACATACCGTGTTATGACTCTCGGGAAGGCCAGGAAAAAAGCTTATCTTAATTACCTTATCTTAAGACCCCGTTTGCACTATTTAGGAACATTATAATAACAGCGCGGGCTAGCGCAGTACTTTTACTGTACGATAAGGATATTATAAATAAATAATATGAAAATAAAATTTGCCCGGTTTATTTTAGTAGCCAAATGACCTAATAATTCACACACGGCATTTTCAGCCCACTGTCATCAGGGACCTAGTTTTTTCCGGAGAATGGTAATACAATGTTATTCCCTATTTATTAAGACGACAGCAATGCAAAGACAAGGAAAACTTGAAATAAACCCTATACCGACCCATCTGGCCCTCGATCTTATTAGGCCCACGACCTCCTTTCGAAGGAGATACCTATGTCCAGCAGTGGACTGTTGGGTCTTGATGATTGATGATTATTTATTAGGAGTACACATAAAAAAATATGCAGCTCATTGACTAGGGCTTTCTCAGCAACACTCTTCTTTATAGAACTATAGAAAATTATTATTATTTATGCTAATTAACGATACTTGAATGTAAATGAAACATCTATGGTGAAGACTTTGTAAGCTCAGAACTTTTTGTGTAACAGATAATTTTAATTTAAGTTTAGTGATTTTGTGATATGGCAGACTTAACATTTAAACTGCTACATAATGTGCCTCAGTGATAGGATAGGGCACAAATAAAATACATATTTCATGTGTTGACAGGCTATCTCGACAGTTGGATAACGTGTTCAACCGAATGATATTCATAGAGCTATTGTTTGTTGGAATAACAAGTTGCGCTTTTAGATTTGCTGGCGAAGTAAGTATTAAGTGTACAACATAACGTCAAAATTTATTGTTTAAAATATGTTTTTACTTTACTTAGTAATGTCCATAAAATCGTCGAGAGGGTTTAGATTGCCAATTATTTAGTCGATAAATAAATTTGAAATATTCTTTGATGTTATGTGATGAGTGCTTTAAATAGAGTTTAACCGTAAAAATGAATCGCAACTTTTAGGGTTCATTCAAGTTTTTGTATGTGAACGTATTCAACATTAATCCAAGAAGAAAATATTTAAAAAAATCATTCATACACTTGTGCTTTTTTCTTCAGAAAATGAATCGCAACTGTATCAAAACGCTTTAATAGGGTTCATTCAAGTTTTTGTATGTGAACGTATTCAACATTAATCCAAGAAGAAAATATTTAAAAAAAATCATTCATACACTTGTGCCTTTTTCTTCAAAAACACCCACATTTTTCGAAATATATTTTGGCCCAGTCAAATTGGGCAAATCAAATCGGTATTATATCAATTAGTATGAACAAATTGACCATAGGTAGGTAACTTCGGTCATTCAAAATAAGAAAAATACCTTTTCCTATGTTACCAAGTAAAAGTAAAAAGGTACAAGAACACACAAAGAACAACATGCCCTTAAGAGTTTAATATATGTTACGAGTATACAGTATTATGTGTGTGTGTGTGTGTGTGTGTGTGTGTGTGTGTGTGTGTGTGTGTGTGTGTGTGTGTAGAATGAAAACAATAATTGCGATAGGTCATTATGCATACCTAGAACTTGAATTGGTAACAGCTGGGAGATCCGGTCCCTTCAACAGCATACCAGAAAAGGAAGGCATCGCGATTCGATGACTGCAATCTCCACTACTTACAGCTTACTGATCACATTGACTGGCCTGTTGGTCTAGCGGTTAGGGAAACCGACTGCTACGCCAGAGGTCGTGGGTTCGATTCCCACCCAGGACAAATAATTGTGTGGTGATCACGGTCATTTGTGCTGTATCTGGGTGTACTTTATCTATAATATGTATGTATTTAGAGATATATAAGTGTGTTTATCAGCAGTCTGGTTACCATAGTACAGGCTCTGCCTAGTTTGGGATCAGACTGCCGTGTGTCAGATTTGTGAAATTATTATTATTACATTAATGATTGTATTACCATGTTTTCAGTTTGCACGCGGACTTATTTACACACTGAGCAACTACGTAGCAGTAACAATTTTGCTCGTAACTGTATTCTACGTGTGTTACTACGGTGAACTGCTCACGAGCGCGGTAACTATCTCTATGATTTTTCTCTATCATTATTTTGATATTTTTCCCTATACTGAAGACTGCAAGGGGTCTGTGGATCAAACGGCATGAAGTTTCTTCTGTGAGCGTTGACGCGTCAACTGAAGTCTCGTCAAAAAGTCTTGTTGTACATCTTGCGGTCTCGCTCCCATACGCTCAGAGAGTGTAATGCGCGGTAAGGAACTTATTTCCTAAACGTGTTGTAAAATCCTCGAATTCTTTGAAAATTCTGAAGTGTGTGGAAAAGGTTATACATCGGTAACTTTGATCTCTTTAAACATTAGCAGTTTTAAAATGTTATTCTACACAACATAATGCTCGAGTTCAAGATATTAAAAAAATATCCTCAGATTAGTTTAATAGTAAATCATAAAAGCGCAATACTGAATTACAACCCGAATACTATACGTGGACTGTGTCATTTTAGACTAGCGTGTATTACAATACCTACACACTACACTATAACAGAAAACCAGAGTCAACGGACGTCAGCACCTATCCTCAGATTAGCTTAATAGTACACACTACACTACAACAGCAAACCAGCGTCAACGGACGTCAGCACCTATTCTCAGATTAGTTTAACAGTAAATAAAAAAAGCGCAATACTGAATTAACGTATATTAGTGTATTACAATACCTACACACTACACTACAACAGAAAACCATCGTCAGCGGACGCTAGTTTTCTGTTTTTACTGTTCTTACACTGGGTTTCTTTCATAAGACCAGTTAAAACTGTTTGTGCAAATATAAATAATATATGTTAATATGTTTCAGAGTGTGCATTTGGGCAATGTAGCTTACCAGAACCTGTGGTACGAAGGTAGTAAGGAATATAAACAAGCAATACGGCTTATTATTAAAAGGTAATTAACTTAAATAACCTTTTGTGTTTTAGGAGTTTTATGATTAATTAAGTATCCTAACTCATAGATTTATCTCTAAACTTTATATATTTACATACATTTCAGATCACAGACACCTTGTGGATTGACGTCTCTTAAATACGCTGCAGTATCGTTAAACACTTTTACTAAGGTTATTATTTCTCATACACAGCCGTATCAACCTTAATTATAGAATAAATATTAAAATGCATACATATTTTAGATAAATTACATCCAAACACATAACAAATGAGCTTAGCAGTCAGGGTCAATATTCACTAGACCAGCAGGGCGGTCTAAATGCATAGTATAACATTCGATAAGTAGTTTAACAATTAAGACGAAAATCTAAATAAGGGCGTTCCATATAGTAATGTAATACACATGATACTTTGCTTCACTAGCGCGAAATTATAACCGCTTATAGAAAGAACAGATAATATTTTGCCAGGTATACCCTAGAAAAGAATGCCCTGGTACCCCGACGTACCTCTGGCCATCTGCGGCTTATAGATGACCCCTCCTCCTCCTCCTGGGAACCTGGATGTTCCCTTCCTGCCCCCGAAAGGCGTGCGCGCTCCACCACCTAATATTTTGCTCCTTAAAATTTTTCTATAATAATCTTAAACTTACTATTATCTAGAACGAATATTAAACGTTAAAAACCAAGGTCGAATTTAAGCAATTTTATTAGTACCACGTACATGTTATTCGAAATTCAAATCTACATTGGAGGTTCTCACGCGCCATATTACGTACAGAGAGGTCATATGTCGCCCTTGAGAATTTATTGCAACACACGGTCTATTTGGCTTACCATAATTGAAAATATATTTGACACCTGTCTGTATAAAATTCTTAGTAACTGAGCCTAGCTCCGGCAAAGCACAAATATGTTTTACAGTTTTTTGTAGAGTAATTTCTATATCCCGTCAGTCAGTGTAATTCAGATTTTCCCATAAAAGTGGAGTTAACTTTGAAGTTTTTTTGTAGATCCCGTAAAGACCGTGCACCGCTAACAATTTTAAAGAAAAACCTGATTTATAAATCAGAAATCTTATGTTGAAACTGAAAAATTGAATCTTAAATGAAGCTCAGGGTATTTAATATCATAGATGTTAATAGAATGTCCAGACAGAAATTGACATAAAAACAATTTTTGTTTAAAAATATGAAACCAGACCAGGAAATATTGCGTCAGAAATACAAAGGAAAAATCGTATTTTCTTTTCAAACCGATTTTTTATTTTGATTTACACAACGCTTCTAAACTTGGACAATACCTCTTTGTAACACCTGTATAAGAATATGTCAAATCAAACTAAAAGCATACCTTAATTAAATCAAAATACGCCGTACTTTCATAACAAAGGAGTTTAATATTGATATAAGACACGAATACCTCAAGCAATTTTATACATTTTTCTCTCTAGAAATTTGGCTGACGTCACCTACCCACTACCATTTATTAATATCGTTGACTGTTCACTTTCCTAATGTACGTACGTATACCTCAATATAAAAATATTACATTTATACGTTTATTCCTTCAAATAAATGTAATAATACACTATTTCTTGGAAGGGATGGGTCGTCAAAGGGCGGACTTACAAGCTCATTAAACGTTATCATTACATCTTGACATGACACCGCAATTTGCTAAAGAGTTCTTAGAAAGATTACTTAACTCATAGTGAGAAAAAGGTACTAAGATGCATTTTAGAACTCAAATAGAAAATATATTTAATGATAATTTTACTTATGAAACAGTTTTGAAAAATTGATCTAATCAAACGAACAGTGTGACGGTAGAGCATTTAACTACCGGTAGAAGTTTAGACGACACGTGGTCGATTTGCACTTAGTTCAGATGTTTGTAAACATGAATATCACATCATCAACAGCCTTTAATCATCAACTGCTGGACATAGCCCACTCCTTAGAAAGGAGGTTTTGGCCACCACGCTGAACAGACGGGTGGGTGACATGAATATGTCTAATCACATTTATTTGTTTGAGTTAAATTCCCCCTCCCGCTGACTCGAGCAGGAGGGCAACGCACTTGTGACTTTTGAGTTGCAGGTGTCCATCAGGTGACCCGTCTGCTCGTTTGCCCCTTATACCATATAAAAAAAGAAGAGTATATTGTTCAAAAGTGGTTTGCCACTCCGACGGATGGTGGAATGAGTGATAACTTAAGTCTAGTCTCCTCCAGTCTTATAATTTCCTTTCTGTAAAGATACAAAATATTTTTTAATGTCCGACCGATATTTATACCGATGCTAATGGCCGCTCGATGGCATCTCAATAGCGTGTCAGTGGTATGACAGTGACTTGGCGTGAGCATAAAATAGCAGAATTGAGGCCCTGTTACCATGTTTAAATTGTAATCATGAATAAACATCCATACTTACATTATTATAAATGTGAAAGTGAGTTTGTTTGTTTGTTACGCTTTTACGCCTAAACCACTAAACCGATTTTTTAAATCCGGTCACACACGGACATACACGCGGGCGGATCCGCAGGCAAAAGCTAGTAGTGAATAAATATCGCAACATTTAAATTCTTAATACTTCTTGACGGCCTCGTTGAACAGGCTAATTAGAGTCAGTTAGAGATCTTAACTATTTAGCTTGAAGTCGTCAGATTGATTAAAATCCAGGATAAGTAATTGTGCACCAAGGATTTCCTTTCGAGGTATTTCGGATTTCCACCTGGTTCCCCGACTACTGGTACCTGAGACGGCGTGAGGTTTTAGTTAGTTCGAGTCCGACATTGCCAGCGGTAAGTAGTATCCGAGGGGATTTCAGCACAGGAAAAAAAAAGGATAAGTAATTGTGTGATGATTTATTTAAGTTACACATATGTATTTCTAACTTCTCTTAGTAGAATTATATTCCGTCATCATGGTATTCGTGTTGCCCTTTGTGTGTCAGATGTCCGAAATAATATTATATTTATTTAGTTATTAATATATTATTTCTAATTCTGTTCAATTTTTCCAGTCTACTCCCATTCCAAATAACTAAAAAGTGACATCATCATCATCAACAGCCTATAATAGTCCACTGCTGGACATAGGCCTCTTCTTAGAAAGGGGGTTTTAGCACACATCACATCAAGACTGCTAAAACAAAGTGATAGTGACGTATTAGAAGTATGACCCGGTCTGAGACAAAGTTCATTTTCATAATGCGATTACAATTACTACATCAAATATTACTTTAAATATGTTCAATAAACGTACAGAACGTCCGGTCGTTACGAGTACAAGCGACAGTTGGCGAAAATGGACCAAGATTATCCTAAAGTATTTGTACTCCTTAAGAAAACAATGCAAATTTTACATGAACAGGGATAGTATGTAAATGAAGGCAGAAAACTGCGATGAATCCGATATGGTTTAACTATATTCCTGTTATGATGGTTAATCTAATCAGTTAGATTTTCATTTTAATAATAATATAAGTAATACAACATTATAAGAACGTTTACCTACAACTGCAATCGTTTTTTTACGAGACGAATTTCTTAAAGCAGGTTGCATAGCATCGAGTTTCTGCTAACTAACTTCATTGTAACTAATAACGTATAATGGAATTTAATTTAATACATTTAATTTTGATGAGAATATACGTAATATTTGCTCTCCAATGGAATTAGCTGTAAGTTTCTTGGGAACGTTAATTGTGATGTTTTATGTGCGTGTGTCTGTGCATTTGAGTTCGCGCCTGCACCGCCCTCCTTCTATTGAAATTTAACCATGCATCTGTAATAATGCTAAAAGATAACAATTATTTTTTTAATATTTTCAGGTAGTGAGCACCACTTGGTCCTACTTCTCTCTGATGAACAGCGTATACACCGTCGCTGAACAATAAAAGTTAAATTAATGGGAAAAAGTTTATCATTCAAAGTTCTCGTAGCTCGTAGTGTAATAGTTCTAGAAATGTAGAAATTAAGATATTTCAATCAATTACATCTTGAAACAAACAACTACTTAGTATTCAATTTTTCTGTAACATGCATTTACATAGGTATTAGAAAGAATTTTTGTAATTCAAAACTTTTTGAGTAGCAGCCACAAAGAAAAATACACGACGTTTTCTTTGAATTATGATCCTGACGATACCAGTGGGCTTTGTTGACTTCGATTATGTGAAACCGATACGCGAGCATATCGGTTTTATATTTTTGTCATATAAAAATGACATCCATAATAATGTTAAAAATGAGAGTGAGTTTGTTTGTTTGTTACTCTTAGTGGCCTCGGTGTAATGGTCTAGGCTTGCTAGACCACTACACCGATTTAAAAAAATCTTTCGCTAATGGAAAGTTACATTTTCGAGTAAGCGAACATAGGCTACTTTTTACCGCGATAACCGACATACACGCGGGCAGAGCCGCGGGCAAAAGCTAGTGTAGCATAAATATGGCTTTATGGTTTTTCTTTCATTTAACAAGTAAAATTTTAACAAAAAAAACCGACTTCAATAGTTTTCTCATGGATTCCATGGTCAGAACTAGACCAAGTAGTGGGACCACACGGGAAGCACCAGCTTTCCAATAAAAAAAGAATCATCAAAATCGGTTCACCCAGTCGAAAGTTATGAGGTAACAAACATAAAAAAAAAAACAGTCGAATTGAGAACCTCCTCCTTTTTTGAAGTCGGTTAAAAATAACGAAATGTCTTAATAGAAATTACAAACCTTTGCTTTGATGTTTTCACCAGGCTGCACTGTTTGACATTATTAGTCTGTGACTATTAGTCATGTGTTATGCCTAATAAATACCGAATCGCGTTAATTACCATTACATTCAGATTGTAATTATGACAATAACACACTAATATACTTATATTATCATCATCATCAACAGCCTTTATAAATATAAATAAAATAAAAAATATTTATTGTTTTAACATGAATGTAGGTAGCTATTATAACAATATTTAACTTATAACTTATCTTAAGCTAAACATAAGGGTAAGTATAATTCTTAAAACCAGAATAACAAATATATTGATAATTAATTTTTGTTCCATAAGCAACATAGACCTAATGAGATAGAATAACTCAATCTTAACAAGTGGTAGCAGCTAGTATTGACAGCTACCCTCCGCACTAGTAAAAACTGTGTTGCGGCAGTGTAGTTATCATCGAACTAAGTGACCATTTTTAAAAGTTACGTGTTGCATGAGCGAGTGCTTGACTGTATGGCTCATTGTTTATTGGATGCGTAATACGGTAAGTATAGTATATGGAAGATTAATACATAAAATTAATTTAGTGAAAATCGAAATACAGACAAAGTGTAATGTTTTTAAATGAGAAACTAAGATACTGCGTCAACTTAACTAACTTACTTTTCATTTTTTTTTCCTTCTTTTTATTTTGGTTAGTGTGTAATAATTACACAATATCTACATAAATACACATATATACTAAAATAAACATTAATTAGGTAATATTGTTATTTTATATTTAAACTATTGTTTTGATGTATCTATATTGATAAATAAACATACATATTCATGCACAAATATACACATATATATACATACACATACATACATCTGTACATATCACAATATAATGTATATGTAATTTAGTATTTGGTTTTTAAGTATAAGCTTTATGTTAAAACATATTAAATATAAATATAGCAGGAAACATATATAGCAGCATATTTTACTGGTAAGTTTGGAAAAAAAAAAAAAAACGAATTTTAGATTAATATCTTGAGTATAGATTCAGTAGATTCATAGTCTAATGTTAATAGGTAATCTGTAATGATTTTTTTGCAAGCTTTAAGAGTTTTATCTTTGAGGAGCTGGGTAGTTATTTCACCAAGTTTATTATATAGCCAAGGACCCAAATATGAAAAACAATTCCGAGCAAACATAGTTCTAGAGCGAGGTACTATATAAACTGTAGTACGTCGCCTTCTTGAAATAACTAAAGGTGGTGTGATTCGATGTTGCCTTAGAACTATTCGTAGTATAAATAGCTGACGTACATTCAATACTGAGAATTCCTTGTAAAGGTCTAAGGTTGGGTAAAAGATTTTTTTAAAATTTAGGACTTTTATTACAGCTCTTTGTGCCCGTTCTACTTTGATGAGATTAGTTTTTTTAGCACTACCCCAGGCTGTGATACCATATGTTAATATAGACTGACACAAAGAGTAGTACACTATCTTATTTATTGTAGGATCCCGCATGTGTCTTATTTTCTTGAAAATACATATGAGTTTTCTTAATCTGTTACTAAGCATTTCAATATGACACTTCCAGTTTAAGTTACGGTCTATAATTACACCTAAGTATTTAATAGAAGAGACAGCAGTAAGTGGGAAACAATCACAAGACGAGTTTAAACTACATGAATGTACATGTGCTTTTACGCTGAAATTTAGAGGTTGTTTATTATCATATATACTAAAAGTAATATATTTTGTTTTTTTGAAGTTAATTGTGAGCAAATTATTATCTAGCCAATTAAGAACCGTCTTTACTCCATCTTCAGTGACTTTATGGACCTCATCCCACGATGACGCATTAAAGAGGAGTACAGTGTCATCAGCAAAAGATAATATTTTGGCGTTATTCATGATAGTTTCACTAAGATCGTTAAGGTAAATTAGAAATAGGGTCGGTCCGAGGACCGAGCCCTGTGGTACACCGAAATCAATACCTAGAGGTTTACTAATTACACCGTCGATTGCCACAGATTGACTACGACCACTAAGATAAGATTCAAAAAGTTTTAGTGGGATACCACGTATACCTGCACCTTCCAGTTTCCGAAGCAATCTAGGAATAGAGACAGTGTCAAACGCTTTGGCGAGATCTAAGAATACTGCTAAACATTTATTTCGAATATCCAAATTTTGCGTGACATGTTGAACCAGATCCTCAATCGCATCCGAAGTAGATAGCTTCTGTCTAAAACCATACTGGTTTGAGGAAAAAAAGGAATTTGCTTCGAGATAATTTGTTAATCTTGTATTGATAGCTTTTTCAATTATCTTGCCAAGAGTGGGAAGAAGAGAGATTGGTCTATAATTAGTGACACTGTCTCTATTTCCAGATTTGTAAACGGGTACGACAATTGACTTTTTTAGAGCCTTTGGAAAAATGCCAGTTGATAGTCCAGTCAGTTGATAGTTTTAATAGTCCACTGCTGGACATAGGCCTCTCCTTAGAAAGGAGGTTTTAGCCTCCTATACCACGCTGGCCAGACGGATTGCTACCTATATGGTTTATGTCAAGTTTTCCTTTTCTTGACAGTGGAGTTGCCCTGCGTAGTTCGCCCCAATTAGTCGGCTCTTACGTCACCCGCGGGATGAATAGGGGTGGTTACACTCCGTATTCTTAATCCGTCACCACACGGAACGACTTAGTATATACATATATACAATATCTTTTTCCGACCATTACTTTTCTTTCTTTCCTGACTTTTCTTCAATATATTCCTCTCTATTCCTTTAAGTGTCCTGATGACTGACTAAAATTATAATCGGCAAAAAAGATAAACTCCTACAGCGTTTGTTCTCCTTCCAATTATCGTCTCAAACACGGCCGTTTAATCCCAAACTGTGCTGTAGCCAGACTGCAGATAAACATACTTATATATTTTTAACTACATAAATATCATGGATAAATTACCCACTCACATCACAAATGCTCGTCCTCTTCACACAATTATTTGGCCTCGGTGGGAATCGAACCCACAATCCCTGGCTTGCCAGTCAGGGTCACTAACCACTAGACCAACACTCCTATCAAATTACATCAGTATTACGCCTCTGTCTACCCTTTTAGGCATACAAGCGTGAATATATATTATATATTGTATTTTTGCATGTATATTGTGTATATGTTTATGTATATTGTGCATATATATGTGAGGGCGTGTATATTTTAGCTGAATAGTAATGCAATCTATGAGCGCCTACCACTAACGATTTCTACACTACCCAAAAGTTGAATGAATGAGAATGACCTGGGCATGTCCGCCGATATACAAGATTGCATAAAGTTTTGTAAATAAAAAAGAAATAAAATGTTATGTACTAGAATTATCAAACAACAGGCGTTAGAAGGTATCAGAAAACACACACAAACTGTAGAAAAACAAAGGCCTTTGGGGCAGTCACGTAGACAGGAAAGGATTTTCCTGAATAAAACTCTGCCGTAAAACATAGTTTTCATACTACATCTGTGTTTGTTCCACTTATAGATGTTATAAAAACATGTCGACGGAGCACATTGCGTGATAATGTGCGTGAAGTAGAGCGTGTGCTGTCCATAAAAACAGGACTATTTTGATAGTCAATTCTTGCTAATATATTGCTGAGACCCGTTTCTTAAACACATCAATTGCAAATGCAAACTTTACCTATACCTTGTACTTGTAAACTTTACTTGTACCTTGTGAATTATTTATTAATTATCAATATTAGGTATGTATTATGCTTACTAATAAAATACAAGAACGGAACAACAGCAGACCAGAACTGTAAATCCACACACAGGCTACTTATAAATCAATCTAGGACAAAAATAAATAGCAAACTATTTCTTTGGTAAACGCTTTCGTGTAAAGCAAGCATAGAAGACCTACATTTTGAGTGAATAATTATCACTATTTTCAGAAACACATACCTCATAACGAATATAGAATTAAATTATTAAATCCCTTTTTCTTCTACAACGATTGGACCATAAATCTGCAAACCACGTTTCCCACCAACAAATATAGCAATATCTATTATTGTAATAGGCAACCGTTCTACACTTACCGAGGGTCCGCAGAAATCGATGGTAAACTTCACGATATAGCCTCTTCAGCCCTATTTACATAACCGATCGGAAAG